TCAGCAGGAGATGCAACGGAGCACGTGAATGCACAAAGTCTTGAACATCCTATCAACACTTTTTTTGCTGAAAATTCCATGAGAGTTAAGAGTGAAAGAGTCCCCGATGCAATCCCTCAAACTGCCCTTTTTAATGAACAGTTTGGTCAGGAGGATCTCACGAGTGCACTTCTCAAACAAGTTGGTTCCTGTCTCTATATCAATATTAAACGTTTGGTTTTGGAAATTTGACTTCAGTTTTAATTTCCAAGGTTTCTAATAATTTGTGCTGATTTTTCTTCCTTTGGAGCAGCAGCAGCAGCAGGGAGACATTGGACTAGCTGAAAATGAATTTGACTTCGATGGGTATTCCCTGGATAATATTCCTGTGTAAGACATACCCCATGCTCAGTTCTCTTGGCTATTTCAGGTTGTAATGTACATATCTGCTGCTACAGATGAATTTGGTTTCTCTCTCCCCAGCCAGAGGGTGGCAATTCAAGTCATTGTTTTGTTAAAAAACAAAGAGGATTGTTTGATTTCTTTCTAGCCACATTTCCTTTGTGAATATTCTTGCTAGTTCAGTTTGGATATAAAAAAAATAGGCAAATGGAAGTTGAAATGGATAAATGCTGCTGGAAGATAACCAGGAAGCTCAAGAAGATTCAACAGCATGGAATGCAAAGGCGTACCTGCAAAATTTTGTCTGTGCATTTGATTGGAAAAGCTAGCAAGAAGCAACTAATTTTAGAGTGCTCGTGAGTAGTCCATTGGCTGGAGTTGTGGAAACAACACATCTGCAGAATTCTAGGAACCTTTCTAACTCTAATAATAGATCAAGTTTGATTTTGTTTTCAACTTGTTTTTTTTTTTTTATTTATTATTTAAGGGATTGACCTTGATGTACATATTCCATTTGATTGCTCTAGGCACAAGTCTTGAGTATGTTTTCCCCTAGATTTTTTCCAGCACTTCAAATTTCGGGAGGTTCTCATTTTTTTCCTCGTCTGCAATTTTATAATGAAACCTCAATTTTTATGATCTGTTATTTGATGTTGTTGATCAATTTGTAAATCTCACCAGTATAATAGTGATCGCCAATATATTGATTGATGAGATTCTCTTATTAACGTGTTATATGTTATTCCCTTTTTTCTTTCAACAAAGTGAAACTATAACATGTTAAAAGATGATAAGAGTAATGTCAGGAACTATAAACCATGTAAAAACAAAAAGAAAATAAAGTAATAAAGGTAAAGAAAGTAGTAAATGAAAGCTATAAAGAAAGGACTGTAGGTTGCAATATATAAATTGCATAAAGGTTATAAAGAAATTGTGTATAATAAGCTATCCTTTTCGGACAGTTAAATAATCTATTTATAATGTTACAAAGATTGAATTTCAGAAATAAATTATGAGTCATAGTCCTATACAATATGTTTATATGTTTATGATAAATAAAGATTTTACAATATGAATCTAGTACTAGTACAATTCATGAACATCTGTCTCATTCCGACAATTATATGTGATGAAATTCTAATTATATTACTACGTTCACTAATATTTATATACTAAAAACTCATATTCTGGATAGGGCTTCATTGTTGCTCAATAACTTGACTTCTTATCTCTTTGGTCGATTGTCAATCTTAGTTGTTTGCACTGGTCAATGGTTAATTTCAAGTTTCTTCGTTGATTTACATGTGAATAACTACTCTTTACACGTGGTTGTTTATTTTTTGTATGAACAATAATTTCATATTTATTTATTTGGGATAAAAGGAAGGGTTATTGACTTAGCTCTATTCTTAAATAGATTGACAAGTCAATAATTAGCAAGATCAAAAGATTGATGTCTTCTTCCAAGTGTAATTATATCAAAGTAATAAATAATTTAGCAAAACTACGGTTGAACAACAAGGAGGTTAATTATATAAATTATAAATAATAATGATGATGATAAAGACTACGACTTTGAGATGTAATATTAATATGAAGATTAAACAATGATAAAAACAGTTGTTAAGGTTAAAGGATCCACTAATGATATTTCAAATAAGTATAATATAAACTCTTTTTATTAATAAACTGAAAGCCATATACAAAAGAGGTTCCAATTAGATAATTTGTCATTAATAGCTTATTATAAATTATTAATATGATCAAATTAATTATCTTATATAAGTAACACAACTTTTAAATATTGTCAGGAATTCAAGAGAAGATTATTTTCACATGTCCATTTGGGTACTTTTGCATGTCAAAGGATGTCTTTTGGATTATCTAATACACCAGCCACGTTTCAAAGATGCATCCTTAGCATATTCAGTGATATGGTTGAACGTTTTCTTGAGATTTTTATGGATGATTTTTTTTTTGTTTTTGGTGATTTATTTGATGATTGTTTGACTAACTTAGAAAATATTTTAAGCAGGTGTGAAGAGAAGAATCTTGTACTGAATTGGAAAAAAATATCACTTTATGGTAACAAATGACATTGTACTTGGTCACATTGTTTCATAAAAAAGAATTGAGGTTGACAAATCTAAAATCGAGTTAATTGTTAACTTGCCAACACCAAATCCTATTAAAGATGTTAAATCATTCTTAGGACATGCTAGTTTTTATAGAAGGTTCATCAAAGATTTTAATATAATATTGACACGACCAAAAGATTGATATCTTTTCCCAAGTGCAGGAGTGTCGAAGTAATAAATAACTTGGCAAGACCGGGGTCGAACCATAGGAAGGTTAATTGTATAAATTATAAATAACAATAATACAACAACAACAATAACAATAGTAACAATAATAATAGCAATAATTATAATAATAATAATAGTAATAGTAGTAGTAGTAGTAGTAATAGAAGAAAAAGAATTATAATAGTAATAATTATAATAATAATAATAGTAATAGTACTAGTAGTAGTAGTAATAGAAGAAAAAGAAAAAGAAGTTGATGAGAACTTTGATATGGAAGATTAACATAAGGATTAAATAATGATAACAATAAATGTCAAGGTTAGAGGATCCACTAATGGTATGTCAAACAAGTAGGTTCTAATCACAAAGGAGGTTCCAATCAGATTATAAATTGTTAATATGATTACATTAGTTATCTTATTCGAATAATACTAATACTTGTAAATATTGTCTGGAATTCATGTTTATAACTTATATTAACAACAAATCAAGTTCCTTTCATATCTCAGGTGTCGGTTATACTATACAGTATAGGCTATGAGAGTGCCAAGTATTTGTTGTACCAAGTGTTATACAACATAAATCTAGATTAGTCATTTAACAAGCAAAGTATTAAAGAGTGAACAAGATAACAATTATAAAACGTGTAGTATCAAATATTAAAATCCATGTTAAGTTTACACTATACTTATTTTTACACCATTAGTATAACTTTTTCATGTTGATATAATAAACTTAGCTAAATATAATGAAAGAAAGAAAAATAAATAAACAAAATAAGATAAAAGTTAACTAAGTAAAGAAAAGAAAATGAAAGATATAAACAAGATATTAATGAAAATAAAACTTAAGTATTACAAAAATACAAAGAGAGAAAGCAAAAACATGATCTTGCTCTAGAGACCAAGATGTCTAAATGCATGACAAATGCCTCCTTTTATAGGCTAAAATTAGGAACTATTGATTTGATGACTAATTGATGAGTGGGTGGCCAACTCTTGACTTGGTGACAATCCTTATCTTCTCTTGCCTGCCGAAAATGTAATTGATAACGTCAGAACTAAAACCACTTGAAAACATGAAAGTTGTGGAAATTGTCTCAACTTTCCAGGAAAATAATTGGAGGTCATTTGGACTTTTAAAGCTCCAGATATGAGCCAAACACTGAACAGTGCGTGGGGTGTAGGACAAATTTGGACTTTTTTGTTGTTGCTACAATTTAGACTTGAAAATGGCCTTTTTAAATCTTGAGCTCCAAATGAAAGTTGTAGGCCTATGCTTACCTTTTCATCCATATAAAGTAGACTTAAATCGGAGATCTACAACTCTAGTTATGACCTAATTACCAAACAATGTTCTGGTTTGGACTGCACCAACATCTCTTTTATAAGTTCGATCATCTCTTTGTCCTTTCAATTTTAGTTCTTAAATTTATCAATCAATCCTTTCATTTATTTGATAGGCCTGTATTTAAAATAAACATTTATCATAAATTAAAGGTATATTTTATTATTAGATATGTTATTATAAAACATACTTCAGTTAAGGAGTCATTGATACTTCAAATGCAAAATGATGATATAAAACCTTGATAAAAATACACTTTTAAGTACTAATCACACCCCCCAACCAGCTTATTACTAGTCCTAAAGTGTTAAAATAGAAAAACAATTTGTAAATTCCACAAAGCAAGGTATTCATCATTCAACTTTCATTAATTTATCCAGATAAACAAACTCTTATTAAATTTATATATTTGTTCAATACCTCTTAAACAAGATATTAATAAACTTTTGTTTTATGCTCAATATATCAACACATAGTTATGGGGCTTACTTTGAAAAAAGCAAAATTCTTGTTCTAATGTTTAAGGTTAACTTCCTTAGGTTAAGATTTTTTTTCTTTTTTTTTAAATATATATAGATGTAACTTAAAACACAATGCATCTTTAATCTATATAATGAGCTTTCGGCTAATGACTTTCGAACTAGTTGGTCTTAAGGCATTAGGTGTTGAGACACCCTTACGAGCTTAATAACTCGGGTTACTGATATTGATATGTAGATAGTGTAATGTTTGATTTTCTTAAGCTTTTCTCCTCAACCCATGTAACAAACGTTAGGTCAATAGCTCCCAAGTTAGTTGACTTTAGGGTATTAGGTGTTAAAACACCCATTTGAGCTTCATTGTTTAGGTTAAGGAGGCTACAAAACTAAACTTATCTACATTTTTATTATCATCATTTCTTTTTGCTATTTTTTTTGTTTTTTTTCAAATTATATACTATCCCTTTCCCTTAGTAATAATCCAATGTGCAACCTACAATCATATGTTGCAGTGTGTGCGTGTGTGAAAATTAAGATTTAAGAATACATGTTAAATGAGTATATGAGCAAGATTAAGTGATAATAATACGAGATTTTATAAACCTGAATATTTCAAAAAACCTTGTTAAGAATGGTTACTAAGATGCGTCTCAAGAGTCACTTTAACAAAAGAGCTCCTTTACTCTACCATCCTAATAACAACAATTTTGCACATGTTTTATGAAATAGAAAACACAGATAGTTAATTTTTTTTTGTCAACTACTACTCTCTCCCCCCAACCAAAACTCAATGTCCTAAAGTAGAAAGATAGAGTATAGAAGACATCATCTGAAATAACGGACACTAACAAACCTGAAACACACTTAAACAAATATAAGAAACAACAAAACATAATAATAAAAGAAAAAGACACAAAGATTCACAAATGAAGACTCAAATCTAATCTAAGATTTTTACGACTTTTTTTAGATGACTAATTTATACGACTCATGGAGGGATCAATTATAGGAATGAAAGATTGTAATTGGTCAATCAATTGTTCAGCAGTAGTAGCAAAGATTATGATTTGTCATGCAGAAAATATTAAAAATTCCTATTTCATAGCATGATCAAGAAAAAACAACAACTTATCATAATAACCATTAATATTTAACATACCTACAGGTTTATGGTGAATGTGCAGTTGGGCTCAAGAGGAAATATGAAAGATCTCTTCCAATGTGTTTAGACCACCTAGTAAAGCAATGAAGGCATCAACATGGTTAAACATTGTATTCATTCAAGTAGACATTATGGAGACTTATAGTTCCTCTCCAATTTTTTTTCCAATGATGTCCTCTTGTGTTAAAGCTTTAGGGCGACCCCCAAAACTTGACTACCTCCTAAAAATACAACTATTCACACACCTCCTATTAACATAAGACTATTTTCCCCATACACTAAATGAAGCTTTCTCTCAGCTAATACCCGACTAAGATGATTTGCTGATTCTAAAAACTCCTTTTCTTTCCTA